CCAATAGAAACCCAGGACGAGGTGATAAAGAGCAAAAGGAACTACGTTAATTTAACAAGGATTTTGGATTTTGAAACAACAATAAGAAAGGGATGCTAGTACCTATCGGGGTCACATCCCCACGGCAGTTGACTAAATTCTGGGAGAGGCGGCTACGCCAGGCATATGCGAATGTATCAAATATCAAAAACAATTAGCAACAATTTCATACACATTCATAGTTCGCAGTTAGTTATCATCAGCTGGCACGTATGTAAACATGGAAGTTCAAAGCAGCACATCAACACAGTTAGCTCTGGGAAAGAACATAAATCCGGACATGAGAAAATTTTTTCACACGTGTGAATAGATAGCGTCATGGGGGAAACGAGACTGACGTTAAAAATTATCCTATTACTTCACAAACGTTTGAGTTGTTGATGGAAGGAGGTCACAATGGTTCCATGTAGCAATAGGATTTCATGATGAATGCGTCAAATACACTAGAGCCACAATAATTTGGAAAAGCAAACACGTCAGCAGGCCGTAGACCTTAAATGAAGCGTAGTTTCCATTTATTGTAATTTCAGGTAGAGAACCTACCCAGGTGCGCTTGATCATAATAATCCACAGGTTTTTTAAACCTTATCTGTTACCTCATTCAGAAAAAGTGCGTAACGCTTGTAGTACCTACTTTCGAGATTTTAATAAAATACGAGCAGGTCAAACGTGTAGAATACTTAATAAATTTATTTCGTTATTATTACCTTAATTTCGCAATACCTCACAATGTCATGCCGTCGTCCTAATATAACATTGTACAAATATGGGGTTGTGCCAAATTAGAACTTTGATAATCTGCACTCATTGGCGTGAATGAAGTTCAATCAAAATGAGAGTATGACGTACGTTGTGCCCTATTTATACACGCGAATTTAAAATTAGTACTTACACTAACTGCTTATACGAGAAAGTCCCAAATAATTTTTACAAAGTGCGAGATTTTACTTCTAAAAACCACCTTCTCATCTGATTTGCCTTGTTACTGATACTGACAGAGAAATTGTGTTATCGTTTTCGGTTGGTCTGTCCATCTGTCTGCGGCTAATTGCTTTCACCTCATGCGCAACGACTGGGTTTCAAATCGCAGACGGATATAATGCATTATTAAATTTTATCTAGTAGCAGTAGCGCTTGTTTCATAATGAAGGTCTGTCGATATTTGAATCACCTTGATAAATAGATTCTCTAATATTATTCAACGTTGATAATAACCATTCACGAGGTGTTTTCGATTATTGAAAGATTGTTCTAATATGTTAGCGCTTCAGATCGGAATATAGCGCAGAAAAGGAATCATTGGACCCTGAAGATTATGAGAACTCGGCAGAAAGCAGCGATGAATCATAAATATAGGGTGTCCAACGATGCTTATTCAATGCGCTGGTTTCAGAAAAAATATTTTGATAGCAGTTCTTCCTCCCACTCGCTAATTTAAATGGGATGGTATCTTCTATATTTCTTCCACACGTCCCAATCGGTCTTTGTGGGTACACTCCTTCGACAATACTTCCTTGATATATAAAGAATTGTATCTGATCACGATCACCCATTAGATCCCAATGATGCTCTAAAAAGCTTAAGCTTCAATTGTAATACCATTACTCACCCTAGGAGTAGATTATAAAGAGCAGAATATTTTGCCATGAGTCACCCTAGGAGTAAATCATAAAAATCAGTTTTCCTAACATTCGGTAACTCCTGCAGAGTTTGGCGAACTAACACCTTCAGTTCGTACATTTAAATCCAAGAACGCAGTAACTTTCAGAGACGATCGAAATGTCGCCAATATCAGAACTTCCTGCACCCTCCTTCAGTGGTGCACCATTAGGGAGTAGTTGGAAAATCTTTGCAAAATGAGAAAGAAGACACTCAAAAACATATAAACTGTTATATTTTTCTGAGAAAAGCTTAAAAAAATGTTTCAAAACCTACTTATGGATGTTGCCGCATTATTCAACTGTAAATGACGAGTAATGGATATGAATACAATTCAAAACGCCAACGCGGAGGACCAAGAGGCAAATCATACAGAATATATCACCATCCACCATAGTTGGAAAATGCTAGCCTAAGAGTAAATCCGACTACTAGCAAAAGTTTGCCACCACTGATACATCAACCTACGCAAGTAATCAAAACTGAAGAAAAGAAAAACTATAGGTAAGTGAAATAAGTGAGGGAGGACAATATTATCGTGAAGAACTAGAAGGCAATAACCAGTTTAAAAAAGAAAAAGAACAAAACGGGATTGTCGAATCCCATCTGAGTATCGCAAGAAGAACAGAGAGAATAATAGATCATAGTACACACTGGTTATGATGAGCTTGTTGAGGAAGAAACGTCAAAGTATGATAAAAACTTAGGTAGACGATTAATGTGGAGGGGGCTACTTACCCATAACCAGGCCCATAACCCACCCCCTACCCCCTATTTCTTAATGTTTTACCACTAGAGGTGAAAAATCGGAGACTAATTGCTTGTCGCGTTTAAGAGTCATTCACGTTTTAATTTCAAAAACTGCATCTCGAGAAATAATTCATGGGATTCTGGCAGACCTTAAAGGTATAGGAACAAAACGTAGACAATAGAATTTTTTTAATTCTTGAAAAAATGCGTTAAAAAGATATCAAAGCGGGAAAAACAAAAGTTATGGAAAAGCAAATGAGCGTTGAGGATAAGTCTAGAAGAACAAAGAGTGGAAAATGATCGCAGGAAAGGAAATACCTAGAAAAATTATGGAAGACACTTTTGAGGCAATTGATGTAGCAAAAATGAAGACCGAAATGTATAACCCGCAAGGAGGGGAAAAAATATAGATTCGAAAATCAAATTATGTTCCGTTTGGCTCTTCAAGGACAAGTTTTTGATTTCAAAAATTAACAGAGAGGCAAGTTTAGTAAATAATATGATACATGGCCGCGAGCATGGCTGAGAAGGAGAAGAAAAAGACATAAAAGCTTTGATATCTAGGCAGTTGTTTGGGCGAGATAAGATGTTTATTGGTCTATTTTTTAAATCAATTTTATTGTTTTTTCCTCTCTCAGAATATAAGCTATACAAGTTTTGGTTTTCATCTATTTTATTGGTCTATTTTTTAAATCAATTTTATTGTTTTTTCCTCTCTCAGAATATAAGCTATACAAGTTTTGGTTTTCATCTATTTTAAAAATTTAAAATTTAAAAATCTCATTCAAATTTCGGCCGGCTGCGGCTGTTAACTAATTTTTTTGATTTTTACTCTTTTTGAAAATTTCGTTTATGATTTGAACATGACATCATTTATGCCAGTAAATGTAACGGAATACGTTATAAATGCCTGACGGTTTTCGATTTTGGGAATAACAGTATTCCTACAAAATTTGAGGATGCTCTCAAAATAAATATTATTTTAGATTACGCCACTGGCGCACTAAACTAGGTCCCTAATGTACAAAAAAATTCGTTGATGACAGCAAAACATATTAATTGCTTAAGGGTAGCTTCAGGGGTAGCTTGAAAGTAGGTGTTACAAAATATGTAAAGCAAGTTGATTCTTATAATTGTATCAATAATATACTCGCAGTACAAGAATTAAATTGTTTAAGAAAAAGTAACTATAATACAGGGTGATTCCTATAGTACCTGCCACCGTTTGGGAGCGTGTAGGTGGTGCGTAGGGGAGTATTTTGATATAGGACACTTGGGGTCGAAAATCTAAAATAAGGGTGCCCGAGCCAAATTTACCTTCTGGAATTTCGCGCCTGTAGGTAGGCAACCCAACCGGCCGGCGGTGCACACGGAGCGATCTCAGGCGGCGATGTGTGGCTGACACTTGATCAGAATGTTGTTTAAACCCACGAAATCCCGTCTGCAACGACGCGTATCAAGTGAATAAACACTATGGCAATAGTATAATAATAGTTGGCTAGATGTAGGAAGTGCATTGAGAACAACGGTGGCCACGTTGAACACTTGTAAACGTTATTGCTTTTGACTGTCGTTTTCCCTCCTTCCCTCCCATGTCGCTTCCTCGCGCTAACCCGCTCTGCATCGCTCCGCGCGAAACGTCGGTCGGTTGGGTTGCCTACATACAGGCGTGAAATTCCAGAAGATAAATTTGGTTCTGGCGCCCTGATTTTAGATTTCCGACCCCAAGTGTCCTATATCAAAATACTCCCCTAGGCACCCCCTATACGCTCCCAAACGGTGGCAGGTACTATAGGAATCACCCTGTATATAAGGGTTCCATTTAAGAGAGGAGACTGCCAATTAATTAAGCTCACTTCGAGCTGATTTGGTGCATTAATATTTATTGATTTATTTCCTCAGTGGAGTTGTGCCAGTGGCGTACCATTTAAACATTATTTCCTTTGGTTGATGCGTACGTTAAAACGAGAGGATGTTTTTCATTTTCCGATTTTCTATTATTTTCGAATGTTTAAAACAATAAACGTTTCTTTGGGGCCTAAGTGGTGTATATGACTCCTACACTGGTAAATACTGCCCAAAAGCCTAGTACACCACGAATTTATAACGCAATCCATTACACAACACGTCTTTGAGTGCAAATCCACAATGAAATCTCCAAAAAAAAATTAGACTTAACTATACTTGAAAAACTTTGTGAGAATAAGAAGTTAGGTAATGTCTACTAATATAAACATTTAAAATGCATAAATGATGAAATAATGTGTATAAAAATACTACAAAAAACCTATAATATACATCCCGCACCTGTGGGGAAGTATGACATCCCCTTCCGTTTTAGATAGCACAATAAGAAATTCTAATATTATACAATGTTAGGAAATAAAGTTAAGTCGAGATAAGAATAATTTTCATAGATTAAGTTTCCCCACATAAAGCTGGAAATTCGAATGCTCTTGTTTGATTTAAGTAAGTTTCGTTCTTTATTTAGCATGCGTAATTGTATTCTTGTCCTTGTTAAGCTACTGTATAGTGAGAATAATGTGCTATATAACCTCAGTATTGTCGTGAGCAGTTATAGGTTTGTATATAAGATCCGCGCACAGTGTGAAAGTCGCGATGGTTACAAAGAGGAAGTGCTAAATCAAAGTGGGTTAAGATTTATAAGTGATAGTTCTAATAATTGCAAAACTAAATATGGCTGATTTAATGTTGGTAGTCTTTTTACTTTTAAATGTGGTAAGTTATTTAATTTTTTTACGCAAATCTGTTGGTATGTTAAGGTAGGTCATAGGTATTATACTGTTACCGACCTTGGTACACTATTTTCGTTTTTTTCCTCCAAAATTACAAAGTTTATTAGAAAGGTATAAGTTCCATATCATTCCTGTGATTAAAAGTCAATTTTTTAACAAACCTGCTACATTCACCGAAGGGAGCTAGGTAAACTGCAACAGGTTTATTATGCTTTCCGCTAACAGAACTATCCCCCCTAATAGTGATCCTAGAGACCTAGTTGTGTTATAGGTAGTATCGCATGATGAATTAATAACCATAAAGAATTTGCGGAAAAGTTACCTAAATTATGGCCAATCAATGACGTTAAACAACGTGTGTACGTGTGTGTCATCAACAAAGAGCCGGAAGTAATACTGTTTGCGCAATAATTTACATATTGTGCTAAAATTTGTCATACTCCCGAGGTAGTAACAGCAAAAAAAATCTAAATCAATGAATCACATTTGAAGATCTTCCACTTTGTTTATAAAATAGTTAGGTATTACTACATTAGAACCAGGCAAGAAGACCTTCAAAGGTGAAGGTGACTCAAAAACCCGTTTCAGTTAACTTAAAACGAATTATGGTATCTGTGCTTACAAAAATTAGCCTTGATCGAGTTGTTATCGCTATTAATGACAACTTAATCAACATTCTCTGATATATTTTCTTCCGATTTGACTTTCTCTTTGCACTCTAAATATTTAGTACATGCTTGCATAATTATGTTCACATTCTTTGGGAAAAAATTCGCACTTTCCAAAGATAACTTTATCGCTTTAAAGCAGATATGTTATGAAACGGTAATGTTTGTTTCATTTACGAGGGGGTATTGTTTTTGGAGTAGCTGATATAAATGTCAGCATTTTTGGCAAATATACCGTTTCTTCCACTGTACTCGTCGATCTGCCAAGATGAAATCATAAGTGGAATCAAGAAAATGAGATGTGAAATACTGATGATCTACACTACAGGACCTCCAAGATGTTTTTATCAAATGCGCCCCTTAAATAGAATCAACAACGCTGTGCTCGAAAATTTTCCGACTCCACTCCTTACGTATCTTAGGGTTGTTTGGTTGCAGGTTGAATGAGAAAGTTTGATTGTCAGTCTTTCATAGTGTGACACAAACTCATTTATACAAATTTGTGACAGTAGGGTATCTTAAGGTCGTGTATTTCCGTTTACATACCTTTTGCATATATTTTTATTGTAGTACCTACAAACCGAAAATTGTCAAAACGGGATGGTAACATGCCCCACTTGTTCTTTTGCAGTTATGCGTTACAGCTAAGGTACAACCATTATAAGATCATTCCATTCTATATCACGTATTGTGCACGTGCAGTTTACCTTTACAATATTCGATCTTTTGCACTATTTATAAAGTACCTAAGCCTGACTAGACGTTAAATTTAATTTCGTTTTTTCCGTTTCCAGATCCTAGTGACAAAATCCTGGCCTGGGAGGTGGCCCGCTACAAAGCGTGAAACTCAGCAGAACACTACTTCAAGTAAGTTAGACACTATTATTTCGTATCTCCTTAACCTTGATGTATAACTAAATCGTCAACATTGCTTAACACTAAATGTGATAAATTTTCAGCTACAACTGACGATGGTATCGTTTTTCCCGACGTTTACTCAACAATGGACCGTTATTTGCCCCCCGCGGAGGCAGACTTCTCTGCTAGTGGAAAAGGTCAAAATTGTGTAGCAGGAGTGTGCAACGAGGCAAAAGATTATCCCTACAACCACATTAAAGACGTTCTAAATAAAATAAAGACATACAATAAATTATTTGGGTTCTTGGAGGGTACCGTGGTAACGCTACCGAATCGATTTAAACCGGGTGTTGATGAAGAAGACGAAACGCTTTGCCCTGTAATCACTCACACTGTATATCCAAAGACGATAAAAAATGAAAATGACACGGAAAGATACATCATTAACATTGATGAACATAAACAAGGCCTGGTATTTGAGACTTGCGTGTACGTGTTAATTATAACTTTAAATATCCTTCGTAATCTTTTTTTTTTATAGTGAAAAGGCGAAATGTAAATTTTACAACATATTTCCTGCGATCTACACTTCACAGTGCAGTCAAAGGTATGCCCGGAGGAGGCTGGTGGCCCTTGAAGAGGATGGAAAACCAGCAACCGACACATTTGTTGTACCATCGTGCTGTGTTTGTACTGTAAAAATAAAGAAGACTAAATAACTATTCATTATAAGGATTTGATAGGATTAATTTATTCCAACAATCTACCATGAAGCCAGTGTACATGTGTATCACGAATCTAACTGTATCGCTTAATTTATCAACTGAACCAAATAAAGATAACCGCGAGCAGGCATTGAGATTCAGTTTGTACTTTGTAGACAATAACGGATATTATACAAGTGGTATGTACTCGTAAAATCGACCTTAAGTGCAAGACGATTTTTACGAAAATTAGATGTTATAGTAAATAGTAATTTTGGGTCATTACTTCATTTTATTGTTTTTAAGTTCAAGTGAAGGATGCTTTTAATTTAAGAATGAATTGCACTTTGACCCATTGTTTAGAGTTCAACTTGAACTTCACGTATGTGTATTGAAACAACTCTTAACTTCTTGTCAATTATCAATTGTATGTATGTGTTGCCAAAATTTAGTGCTTTTCAAAAGACAAACAAATCTAGCTTCTGTAAAAGAACTTTTCACTGTTACTCCGAAATGATCTAATGATGATTTCATTTAGTCTCTTGCGGAAGAGCAGCTAGATTTGCTTATGATTTGAAACGAACGATACTACATCAGATCAGAAAGCAATAATATGTGATAGTATTCTGACATTGTTATGTAAAGTGCACATGTGATATGATTTTATTAATTATGTAGGTATAATTGTTGTCATTATGTTTTGCAATTAAACTAAGTAATTAAACTATTGCTTGATTACGACTTACATTACACACATGCTGTCTACACGCTTAAATATTTTAAGGAATGACTCCTCGCATTTTTTCATTAGCTATTCAGATTATGCGTGACGTAAATCAAAGCTCTAAAGGGGCGAAATATGTCCAAAAACGTGTTGAACCTTGGGGTTATAAAATAGCGGCACGCATACTCCAAAATTTATCAAAATCAGTCTCGTCAAGAATATTCTAGCGACTAGCGGAAATGCACAGATTAATGTGAAATAGGTATATGCGGTATAATGGTAATGGGTAAGATGAGATTAATGATGGTAAAACGTACGCACGTAATCAACATAAATTTATTTTGGGAACTCCCAACGTCACATGTTGATCTTCTTGCGAGATCTGCTTGTTCATACAAAGACCACCGAAATTAGGTGCATTGTAAAATAAATGCCACACATTATTCAGGTTATCCCCCTAGTGTCGTAGTATAATATAATTTGTTGTTACTGAGCAGTAATTGTTATGAAAAGAGCTTCTATTTATAGAATAAGGGGAAGTCCTTTCGTTAATATATTCTTAAGTAAGTAAGTTTTTTTATCGTTTAATCGTATGTATTTTGATAAGGACTTCCAGCAAACTGTCACCTAACGAACCTTAATTGTTAACCTTTTCTTGAGGTTCGTGGATAGGACTGAATCAGTTATTGATGACCGAAGCCTATTGGTTTTCTGTCATAGCTTTCAAAGCCCGACAGATTGTTCCTGGTAACGAACCGGACGACGGATGTCTGCGTACGCTTGAAATGGTCTTGACCACATTATCATTAGAAGGTCGTCGCATAAGATTGTGAAATTAAAGGAGTACAACAAGTAATAAACAATCGAAAACCTTAATTAAAATACCAACATGTAAGGGGGGGGGGGGGTAATTATGGATTGACAGGGGGGGAAGGCGTGTTTTTGACCACAATCATTTTAAATAATTAAATCGCTGAAGAATAGACATAATTTGTCAGGATGATTAATTGTAATAAAATAACTAGTTACAAAACAATGATAAAGTAAGTACTTACAACAAGGAATCAAAATCAAACTAAACTTGACCTGAAAGTTGGCAGCGGATGATCGTACCTGCAATTAGAAAATAGTTCTCTGAGCAACCAGTCAACCCAACATGGATGACTACAAATAATACTGACTGTCAATTACTATACTCTCTATGGAAAACTTCCATAATATAATCTCAATAATCATAGGAGAGTTCTAATCTTTCGTCATTAGATTGGAGTTCCCTATTTTCGATATTCTATGAGAGTTCTATTTAATTCTCGTTATATTATAGTTACTCATTCTCGTTATTAAATTAGAGTTATCCATTCCCTTTTGGCTGTGCAGTGGTGTTGGGGGATTAAACGCAATCGTCAAAGTCCAGGTCAGACCATCACCCTGCTCAACGTGTGTGGTAGGTCCTGGGTTCAAAGACGCAACCCTCCACCAACCAAAAGTGCCACAACAACTAGCATAGAGTGTGCAATGGTATTAGGGGATTAAACTCGACCGTGCATGACGCAACCTAAAACCCATCATCACTACGTTTTAAGTGTTAACAAGTCCTAGGGGATTCAACGCAATCGCCATTCACGATATCCTAATACCTACCCTAAGTACTAGCCTGGAACCGTGCACAGTTCCATCAACAAAACACTGTCGAGGGGATTCAACGCGCCTCACAGTAATCAACAACAAGCAGCGTGGAATAGATTACGCCAACCAATAATTCTACCTGGTTTATGCATAAACTGTGGTACCATATTTGTATATCAATTTCATAATGAACGCTAATTAAACATGCTTTGTAAAACTGAATTGCTCTGTGAGATTCACTCACCTATTCTCCAAAAGAACACAGACACTTAATCACGCACTGTTCACTCACTACTAATACAATTCCAATAAATACGCAGCTACTGCCCATTTGTATAAAAACCAACTGCCTGTTCCTTCATCCCTTCCTTTAATTAAAACAAAGTAGCGAACGTGACTGATTTATAGTTCCATTCGTAGAACGAAACATATTTTCAAATGTTTACAAATAACCCAAAAATAATATCATATTACCAATAGTCGCCTTTCGGGTAGTAAATTGCGTGAACGGTGTTACGGATGAATGACATACCGTCTGGGGTTTAGGGATTAAGTAAGAAATCGACGGTCACGCTCGATAAAAATTATTTAAAAAAAAAACTTACGTCTCACAAACATTTTCAACTTTGGACGTTTCAGTGGTACCACATCTCACACTAAATATAACAAAAGGCGTTGTCTTATGTAAATTGCTCCATAGAAGGGATAATAAAACTTAGAAAGCCAGAGTGTGATTACAGTTAAAAATCCCGTCACACAAAACCGTTCTCACAAAGTGAAAAAAAGTAGAAACACAGGGGTAACGGTCAACATTTGAGCACTGACAATATCCGCGTGTTTCAAAAAGTTGTTCAGTATAATACACTCCTAGAGAATCAGAGACACATAAGGAAGGCTTATTAGCGACTTCTTGTGTTACATTTCGTTGTTTGTTTGTGTGCTTGACGTGTTCTGGCAATATCACAAATGCCAGTACCCATTCTGGGACCTTGTATGAGATTACGGAACTTGTAGTCGCAACTCACAAAAGCAATGACCCACTGTCGGGTACACCCCAATTCGCCACGCTTATGCAGATACAGTTAAAGCTCAATAAATCGTCCCCTGAAACTGATATCTTTTCTAGGCGAAAATGCTTGCTCCAAAACTGTTGTATATAACCCGCTATTTATTTTCGTTCTATTCCGAATTCCATTGTTATACTAGGACAAAATCGAAATTTACCCTTTATTAAATTATGAATTCGAATTAGTTCGCGATAGTCTATATTGTTTTATGATACGTTCTCTCGTAAATATCTTGGACTCCACCAGTTGCGAGTTGTGTGTGTTTAATACTGATAATCCATTTGTTGCCTACAGTAAAGTAACGTTGTCTCGGTAGTACTCGTATTTGATTGGGTAACTTCTCGAAAACTTGTATGACGTTACGGCGCGTTTTTGACAGTTTTACATCTTTTATGCCATAATTTTAACTAAATCAAAATAACCCTTTTGCTGAAAAAAATAATTTTGTTTTTTAACCTTGACATGCTTTTCTCATTTTTTTTTGTAATAAAACCTGGCACAATTTTTGTGGGTTGTACACAGAAAAATAGGGCCTTTCGAATAACTTAATTAAAGATAAATAAATATTTACTTGAGTGTATCCAGTGTCGTAGTCATTATAACGAGCATGATACTATAATAGTAAGATACGCTCAACGAAACGCCACTGAAGTCGGAATCTCAACCGACAAGATTTCCTGGCAATTGCCGATGTCATATTCGGTGTGCGACGGCCTGTACGTATCTGTTTCATGGAAAGGTATTTCCAAGAAAAGTTTCTCAACACTTGCCAATTCATTTTATTTTATCTACAATATAGTTACTATTACAGTAACTGTAATCTACAAGATATGCCTATTTCCCCCTTATTTTACCTTTCTCGCTAATAACTTTTAAGCTTTCGTAGGTTCCTATCTTTTCGATTTGCTCTTAACGTCATTCTAAATCCTTTTCTATTTCCTCTCAGGCTCTCCTCCAATATCTGTCCCTACTTCTACTTCAAGTTTCCCTAAAATTTGTTTCTCTCTTGTTCATTTCAAGTGAGCTTTAAGTTCTCCTAAACCGCTCCTCCACCGAAGTAGGTTTGAACCATTCTAGCGCTTCTGGAGAACTATGAAGTGCTTCAAAACCGGGATTAATCTTTGAATTTGGACATTCCTCAACTAGATGTTGGATTGTTTCTTTAGTTCCCCGCATAAACAGGCTAGATTGTTGATGGCAAAATAAGTGAAAAATTTACTATAACATGAATTAACAACTATTTTGGTTTTGAATTTTTTGAAATCATTACTCACTACTACTGGCAGGGGTGGGTGGTGGAGTGTTAGAAATTGGTTTTATTTTTAATTGCATTCAAAAAAAGAAAAGCTTTGTACTATACTGCCTCCTTCGTTTCTTACCTTATTGGAGCGGTTTTCAGTAGATTTTACGAATACATATAATCAAATAGAAAGTGGTTACGATCAAGCAATTTTTTTCGAAAGAATAATCATGTAATCATTTTTTATTAAAAAAATTGACCTCGCAGTATGGATGTGTTTTTTAAAATAAAGTCAATGTTGAATACCAAACCGCCTTACAGTCTGATTTTTCAAGTTCAAGCAAAAGTTACATTTTTAGATTTTTAAACAAAAGGCTATAAACCGAGACAGACCGGATCGCCCTTGAGGAGTTTCTGGATGATCTTCCCTTAGCAGAGAGAAATGATATAATGCTTCAACAAGATGGTGCACCAACTCATAACTCGAGACTACTTATACGGAACTGTGAAATGGCCATTTTCAAGAAGATTGGTTAGGTACCAATGGGCCAGTAAGATGGCCACTACGTTCACCAGAGGCCGCTTGATTTTTTCTTTTGGGGATATTTTATATAAGAACAATAATAACAGTCTTAACGATCAGAGAGAACACTTTGTACGTTGTGTGAATTCAGTGTGAGGAATAAGTGAGAATTGTGTGTTAATAGCAATGGGCATATCAGTTGGTATATACTTGCTAAGTTGGATTGATATTTATTAAATGTTCTATTGTTTGTCAGATTTTCCTGTAATATAATAAAATATAAATGTGACAGTCATATATTGTCAATTAAGTCAGTTTTTAAAATATCGTTATAAACGACCAACTACGATGATTTACACCTTTGATAATTATAAACTCTCTATAAAATATTGAATAAAAAAGAAGCTTATGATATATTTTTGCTGAAAATGAAAAACTGGTGATTGTTTTGACAACATTTCGAAGTCATTCAATTGATTTCAAAAAAGTGTCTTGAGAACATATACACACATTTCCCAAAACTTAATAAACAAAGAAGTAAGTGGTTTTCGGCATCTCACAGAAAGATATCGACAGTGCAAGGCTACTTTTTTTACTACTTGTAGTTTAAAAGTTTCCCCACAGGCCCATACTAAGTACCAAATTTGACCACCTTGTACAGAAATGTCAAACTGTAGGTAATTAGAATGATGAATTGATGGTATGAACGCATAGCCTAAAGTAGAATAGATAACACCCAAAATTTCTGTGATACAAAAGATCAAAGGGACTCAAAACTAAATCAATGGTCTTCTTCATCAGCTGACTACAACTGCATATTTTATTATGTACATTTTATTAAAATAACGTATACAATTGATACCGTTTTTGACTGATTACAATTATTGCGATATCAAGAAAAACTATAATATTTCATTTAAAAGTATGCGAGGCAATGAGTATTGAAGCTTAATACTAAAAGTACTTAGCTAATTGTCATAGCAATAAATAAAGGAGCACAATTTTATCGCACTTAAACTGTCCTCCTATATGTACATACACAACTGGATGGAACGGGGACGCTGTCCAAAGACACATTTCCATTCTCTGCGATGGACACTAATCGAATGACGGTATACTGCTGCTTGCACGACGTTTCGTAATGAAGAGGAGTATGGTCATCCATAAAACATCTTGCGTTCGATCTGCGAAAAAAAAAACACGGTTAGTCTAGGGCCGTTAGGATTTCCCAAGGTAGGAGACACAATGTGTAATAAATTATACTTTCGGTTATGTATGCGATTCGTAGAAAGTTTTGTATACTCACTGGCAGATTTCGAACGAAACCGATTGCTTAAAGTCATCGACATTTACTATTACAACCCGCTTACTGAATTTGTTCAGCGCTGTCTGTGGATAGTGTGTGTACTGCCGTGTGGCGCACATATTTCGGTCTTCGGTTCCGCTGGATACCGGTGATTTTGCCAAAATGCTTGGTGGAGTATATGGCTCAATAACAGATCCAAAAAGATGGTGATATTCTTTTTTCTTTGCAATTATATTTTTAATAGTATCACTGGGATAATTAGTAACATTATAGCAGAGGTGGTGAACGCAGTCTGCGGTTTCGGCAAGATTGTGGTAATCAAAAAATTTACTGAAATCGTTGCCCTGCTGAATGTTACCTCCCCTGGCGAATGCGATGGGGCGAGCGATATGTGGCGGACGTCGCCGCTGCCCATTTAAGCCGCAAATACTCTAAAATGTAAATGAGTTAATTGATTTTATAGCACAATCTAAAAGTGAACACTCACTATGCAAATCATATAAACCACAAATGAATTCGCGAAGTTACCCATTGTTTCTATTCCACGCACACACCTGTACCTTCAGCCTACACTCTCTTGTGTTATTCTGTTCACTGAAGAGTACAAGATTATCGAACAGATATTTATACCGTAACTTTATAACTAAAATAAATACGCTATCACAATTTATATTTCGCGGTTTTTACTTCCGTGGCATACTGTCGTCAATGTATTGCACAATTAGTTAAACAAAACTGATGACGTCAATTAAATGTTTACAAAAGAATGCATAATTTCATCTCCAGGTTTACCACAGCATCACAGGTTCAGACACTATAAGTAATGATTGGGTAGGTATACAGCGTAAACGTAAAACCAATTTATTTTCCCAGTGTATAACAACACATCAGTATGTGAACAGAATGATAAGAATGCCGATTTAATTACACCTCGTAAAATGGTTTGATAATTACACTTACCCACACGATAAAATTTGGGACACACACAGAGTGACATACAATTATTAAATTAATGTTAACGAGTATGTTGTATGAGTAGAGTTTCACCCCACGATAAGAGCAAATGAATATTAAATTTTTGTCAACAGTTGCTATAGGGCCTTTGTTGTTAGGGTTTCGAAAGTTGAACAAGAATTTTGAGTAGATAGAATGGGCAGTCAAAAGCGTGTTGTATTCAGTGTATGCGCCAGTGTCATCATAAGAACTATATTTTAAACAAAAAATTTGCCATTGTAATATACTGCAGAAACTGAATCTTGTAAAAGTTAAAAATTGTGTTGGAGGAGAGATGTCCAACCCGCAATATTTCGTATTTGTTGTATACTTTTTTGAGAAATGTCCTCCGAATAACTTCCCCGCCACCAGGCGAAGCGGATGACTTTCCCTAAAATGCGAAATAAGTAAATGTCTTACTGGTTGAAAGGTTAGAGCTGAGGGGCCAATAAGGAGTAATTACGACTCCTAGTGCCTTATGTTCTATGATTTTTTACAATACTCTTTCGATAATATAGAAAAAGGAGGAAACGATATAAATAATACTTTAACCAGTCTGCTGTAAAAGCATCAACTGAAAAGGACTCTGGATCTGGAACCATTTCCTCGCACCAAGTCGGTTTCTAATAGAATGCGAATATGAGTTTTGACTTTAGCAAAAGATTTTAAGGCATATTATGCAGCCTTGATATCTAAAAAGTTCATATGCACATTCACCTCCTCACTGACTCCCCTTTCCACAACAGCCTCCCCAGCCGGTTTGCGAAGGATCGGAAAATATCTCACACGAGAAAGGTTTGGATTTTATATCCTGTTCCAATCAGCCATACCCCAACCAATTTGGAATGCTTATTTTCACATTATAATTAAGCTACTTTATTTTTTTCAAAAATTTTTATATAGGTAAATCCATACTCCGTCGCGGAACAAGAAGCTACAAATGTACCTATTAACATCGCGAAAGCCTTAAGGGTGTACTTTTTATTTTTGTTTTTAAATTTGTTGATTAAGTCCTGTATAATATTATCGATTCTGTATAACTGTAACCTTTTCTTCAGGATGAGCATATTTATAGTATCATAATTGACACCTACGACCTATGAATGTTATATGTTGTTGGGGTGTTAAAACGTCTGGCTGTAATAGCGCTTGACGTTATGTGACACTGCAACAACGCTTTATTCAGTCTATACCCTTTCTGGCTGATTACAACTACTGGGTTATAAAGAAAAACTAGCATTTCATTTTAAAGTATGCAAGGCATGTGTATTTATCCTAGTAAACTAATTGGTCATAGTCATAGCATTATAGCAATAAATAAAGGAGCACAATGTTATCGCATTTAAACTGATCTCCTATATGTACACACACAACAGAACGGAACGGGGATGCTGTCCAGATACACATCTGCATATTTTGATATGGCAACGAATGGGGTGAGGGTATACTCAAGGTTGTTTTATTAGAAAGGTTGTCTGGTAACTCTAAACCAATAGAGCTTGCATTTTGAAGGCGGGAAAACGTCATCCAGAATACACATTTAAAATTGCTCATAGGTTACAACGCTAATAAAAGGGGTAAAAAACTTTTTGCAGTATATTTTTGGAGTTATATGGGTATATGTATATAAGGGTGGATCTTATATTGGAAATCTTGGAAGTTTATCGACTTCCACCTTTGAAAGCAATCAAAGTATTGAAAAAATGAGTGTGGTGCGTAAGCTATTTTACATTGCACTAAGACTTGTGAAAATGTAATCAAATTAATTTTAGAGGTGGAATTGGATAAAATTCTGTGATTTACAGAATAGGAATCACCCCTATGTATCAATACCTAGGCTTTGGGAATTAAAACTCTAAACATTCTTTAGCGGATGACGCCAAATAAAATGCTGTTGCGTTTTATGGAATATGTATATTTATAGTATGTACAAAATGGTAACCGAGGTGCACACGGCGAAACATTTTCTTACCCATTCTTTAAGAACGGTAGGGTCTTTGGGAAACGTAAAAACCGAGATTTTATTTACACCAGGATGAGGAATTTTAGTGTTACCGTCACTCATCTAAAAAAATACTTAATTAGAACATACAAAAGTGCATATAATTGATGAACTAACCTTTCAATCACGGCTATGAAAACCGACAAAATTCACAAACTAAATGTCTTTATATTGCACCAAACAGGTATCTACAGCAGAGTTGGACTGGATCAATCATACAGTGACCCGGTGACCCAGTTAGTTTACTAACCCAGTGACCCGATGACCCAGTGACCCAGTTGACCCGGTGACCCAGTTTGACCCGGTGACCCAGTGACCCAGTTTGACCCTGTGGCCCAGCTTGACCCGGTGACCCAGCTTGACCCAGTGACCCATCTTTACCCGGTGACCCATCTTGACCCTGTGGCTCAGTTTAAACCGTTGACCCATAGGTTGATCCAGTTGAATCCGGTGACCCAGTAATTAAATTATTGTTAAGTATCCGGAATATCTTCAGGTTAATTTTTATTCAAATTTATAGCATTGGGTTTGTATTGGTATTTAAATTTTGTCATCCAAAACAATTTCAAGTAACTTTTAATTAAAAAAAAAAAACTTCCTCAATAATATTCGCCAACAAGCACGTAGCCCAATTTCATTCAAGAGAACTAATACCTAAAAAATCAAACGCATTTGTTTATATAACAAGTAGAAGAAAATTAAATGTGAATGAACACCAGTAAGCAACTGGTAAGCCCTGAAGCAAAGAAATGAAGGAGGGAACTGTTTAGACATAACATTACTATAATACAATTCGGGACATGGAAAGTTTTTTACGGCAGTATTAAAGCAAACATCACAGAAATGGCAGTTGTCAAGCAATCGAGTATTCTTTTCAACAAACCAGCATTCAGATTCATTTATTTCATAATCTGTACACTTGAATCGAGGTCACTGACTTAACTGCTTTATTCGATCAAACTAGGTTACTGGGTCAAATTGGGTCCCCAGGTGAAATTGGGTCGCTGGGTCAAACTGGGTCACTGGGTCAAACCGGGTCACTGGGTCCTACCGGGTCACTGGATCAAACTGGGTCACTAGGTCTAACTGAAGAGAGTATGACGTGACCCAGCGACCCAGTGACCCAGTCCAACTCTGATCTACAGCTAATATATGTCCTTATGCACTTCAAAATTCAACAAATTTTAAACAAGTAAACTATAACCCAAGAAAAATAAGCACCCGCGCGACTACAAACAACATTGAACGTCAATGTCTGAATTCTCGATGACGTATACATTCCGTCCCTCCCGCTTCCGCCCACATAGTTACCAGGTAACCTTTGAAATAAAATAACCTTGGGGTATACTGCTGTTTGCACGACGTTTCGTAATGAAGAAGAGTACTTTGATCTTCAACACATGTTGCGTTCTCTGGTCTGCGAAAAAAACACGGTTAGCTTAGGGCTGTTAGGATCTCTCAAGGCAGGAGACATAATGTATTAGTTATTTATGAGTCATTATAGATATTTAACAGTGTGACAGCTGCGGCCGGTAAAGTGACAGGCGACCGGAAAAGTAGTCCGGTCTGCCTCTGTCATGGAAACTAAACTTTCCTGATACAAAGGAGTTAGGAAAATGAAGGTTCCCGGTTATGTAGCGCACTTTTGGGAAATGTAATTCGTAGAAAATTTTGTATACTCACTCGCAGATTTGTAACGAAACCGATTGCTTAAAATCGTCGACATTTACAATTACAACCCGCTTATTGAATCTGTTCAGCGCTGTATGTGGACAGTATGTGAACCACCGGGTGGCGCACACATATAGACGTGCTCAAGCGCGAACGACGAAAGCGCATTTTCCGGCACAGAATCAGTAATAATTCGAGAAGGAAGTGACTAATCCAAAAAATCTTTTGTTTCTGGTTTGGGTTTGTGCCTCATCGTGTAAGAACGAAAAAACTTAAACTGGCACTGGTAGTGGTACAGACGGACAATGGCGTTTGCACTGAAAACTATTTACCTTCCCAGTTTACGACAAAACATCGCTATGTGAACAAAATTATAAGAATGCGGATTTAATTACGCCTCGGAATGGTTTGATAATTGCACTTACCCACGCGAAAAAAATTTGGGATACCTACACACAGAGTGGCTTACAATTTTTAGATTAATTTTAACGAGTAGGTTATATAGTTTCACTCCACGAGAAAAGCAAATGAATATTAATTTTGTTGTCAAATGTAGTTAGGGTTCGTGTTGCTAGGGTTGCGGAAGGTATTTTATCTATTTTGAACAAAAATGCAATTGTGGGCACTTTTGTACTCAGTTTATGCGCTAGTGTCAAAAGAACTATGCCATACATGTTGCAGTAAATAAAAATTTACGTTTAGAGAATCTTTATTTTAAAATATTTTAAGTAGATGTTGAGCAGATGGCTGTTATAACAATACGCACCTGAAAAATTTGCTACCGGATAATTCGCGTAGGAATACTGGGAAAGGTCTGTCTCTGTGAAAAATAAGGCAATTAGGTAGTCACAAAGAGAGTGGTGATTTTCATCGAATAGTGTGGAGGAATCCACCCCTAAAGGACTGACGCGAACGCAAGAAAATATTGCATAAAGGAGCTTAAAGCATTTCTGTTCTTAACTTAATACACTACTGAGACGACTGCAACAGGATTCAACGGAAATTTTCACCCCTATAGCATTGACGCGTACTATTATATTACCTACGACCACGCGAAACGATAATTCGGTAATTCGTCAATTTGAAATAGGATTCACGGGTGGAATCAACCCCTATTAGCATTTAAAAATCTGTAGCAAAGATATGCATCGGAATGGCACATTCATACTTAGACCAAAGAGTACTGGGTACTATTTGCTTAGACCTTCGGCAGGGGCACCCCTAAAAGGCATTATGCTGGTCAATGGTGTAATTGGGCTAAATCCTGTTGACGATTTTGTAGATCTTTGTTTTATTTTTTTAAATATTTTTAAGAAACTACTACGATGGTCACAAAAGTGTCGAGTAATGTACATCTTTGTAAATATCTGTTTCATCGAAAAATATTTCAAATAAAAGTTTCCCAACGCTTGCCAACTTTCTCTTTATTTCATACGGGGTTTTAGGGTTTAAAACATACAGAGTGCTCCAAAGTTATGGAATAGAATGTTTCAAATAAAAATTCATTGACAATTTTTTTACATATTTTATCATATAACTAAATATTTCAAGATGACGTCATTTAAATAACGACATACACTTTTTTTAATGAAACATCCAGTCAATCGAATTGAAGGTACCTAACTAAATTTCATTTGGTTGTGGTTCTGATATCATATATAATTTACTTACACAGAGTATGGAATGTCGTTTTAGCTTTTATTCCAAAATAATACAATTAAATTTACTGGTTATATGCATGGAGTTCATTTGACCATGTCTTTCAACAAACAATAAGTGTATAACAAACAATTAGATTGAAGCGGAAGGTATCTTTCTATTAATAAAACGCTTTGTTCAACAAACATAAAAATTCATTCATTTTAAATGTTGAATTAAAATGACCAACAAATATTTTCATTCAACGATTTGAAAACTATGCCGTAATTTATCAGCAAATATTTGAATTCGGCAGGTATATATAAATTCTATTTGTTCAAGGTAATAACTAATATCAATTACAATAATTGTTATAGTATTACGTGAATGTTTGTTGATAATTATAATTTCACATTTAATGAATTTTTTGTTTGTTGAACAAAATCATTTATTTTTGAAGTATTTATTCCAATCCAATGTAACTTCTTATTATATGTTGTTAAATGTACTCCATCCACATAACGAATTTAATTTATGAAATTTTTTTTTAATAACTTTTTTAACATTCATATGTAATAGAAAAACAACAAACTTAAAAAATTGAGGATAAGACGGTACCAAACATCAGATTTTGATCACCATTTGTACTATTTAAGAACCTATCTCAAATCTCTAATGCCCCGATGTTGTCCATTTAAAAAGATGCATAGAAAGATAGTACGTTAGTACGTATGTATCCTCTTAAATGAAGTTCTCCGTGAAATAATTACACAGCTATATCAATTATTTAAACCCGTTTAAAGCAATTTTTTTCAATATTTTTATGCTTATGGTTAATACATTCTTTTCCACTTTAACGAAGCACCGCATTATAGTGATCACGTTGACAAATCTGTTCTCAGCGCCGCATATTACTATAACTGTCACTTGGTCGCTAAGGTGTAACAAGTTCATTTCTTCTTTGCATCATTCCGTATTTTACATTCGGTACGCCCTGTATATAAATTTCTACTTCTATGCGTTGGATTAGTTCCGCCAGGTGGCAGGACCTTACAGCGCGATCCAAAATTGCACATGCTTTTCTTTCCGATTCCGACTCTGATCGAACGAACAACTAAGCCGTTCTGCGTGAGAAAAGAAAAACACGTGGGTAATCTTTGCCACCACTGTTAGTTAAAAACTTTGGCAATTCTACCCGTATTAATTGCGAGACAAGTAGTCTGCAGCATTTTACCGTTCATTGGGCTTTAACGTGAAACTTTTTTTCTTCGAATTACGGATATACTGGAAGATGTGTAATTGAGGAACGCTTGGTATTTAATCCCTCTTAAATTTACTTAGAGGTAACGAATTTTACATGTGTGTGTAGGAAGTTTTAGCTTAAACTATTTTAGGGTCCTTGTTCGATACCGAAATTCCTTGTTCGGGGGAAATATCTTGTTCGAGATCACCTGTTGATTGGGGGAAAGTTTTGGAGATTCATTATCCACCATAGACACCTAGGAGGTCGTGACCAACAACCTTATCTGAGAGAGATAAGAGCGGCCATTTTATGAAGACGAGGGAGAAACTCATTTAACTACATACTGTTTCGACATGATCGAGAATGCCTTTTTTTTTGCTTGATCGGATATATTAATTTTTGTGTGGCTGCGACACTCCATCAGAGACACAGACATTTTTAGAGGGGTATCGAGATTTGAGCTTACCGCAAGCTTCGTAGGTCCTTCAGACATTTATTCATAATATATTCCGAACCCTGTGGTTTGGGCCTTTTTGTTCTCTTTTGATTGCAGAGATGAATGGTGCAAACAGAGCTCTCTTTGCTGCCTCACATCTGGAATATTACATAAGGTAAGCGTTATATTCTATTTGCCTTGTTGTTACCGAACTTGCGTTGGGATATTTTCGTTACTAGTTGTGACCGGTAGTAACGTAACCATTTTGTAATTTATATGTGTGATTCATTTATTAATCTTAACGATCATTAAGGAACAGTAATTGGGGGCAATCATTTTTGAACTGGAGTATAATTGTTGGGAATTAATTGGGTTTTTTTTTATGATTTGTGCAGTGTGTAATTTCACATATATATCTATATTATTTTGCAATTTATTTGAAAGCAACCAGCAATATAGAGCCGTTTGATTTGCATTTGTGGTTATTGTGCATCCTGTATCTTCCCAATTTTATGCAGGGTGAGTTGATAGTGTACTTTAGAAATTGGGTGGCGCTCAACCATAACGCACGGAGATTGTCTTGCCCAGAACGAACTTTACTGCTTTGAACCTTCTCTTGCTTCCATATTCAAAAACACTGAGCTTAGCTGGCCGTTTATGCGGCGGGTTTTGTTAAAAGTAGCGCCAAGCCAGACCCACTGTTATAAAGCACGTTGCTATCATACACTTACCGCCCTAGGTTGGCAAATATACCTTACCGCCCTGAAAATGAATTGGTAAGTATGTCGCTGACAATAACTGATCGTGCAAAAAATTAATTTATAATGTAAAGTTCAAACACCTGTCTACCACCAAATACTTTTTTGGCATAACCTGTTACACCCCATAATATTCGTCATAAAATCTACCTGCAACCATATTCTTATTAAATTGATTTCACTGTTGGTGCTTTAAGTTCATCGTAAAATGTTAGAAAATCCCGTAACCAATTAGTTAGACGCACGCAATAATGACTAAAGTACCGAAATCTATGCGACTTTTTTCTGAGCTTCTATTTCTATTGCATAATGACATGCCTTAGAGAACGTACCCTTTATAGACAAAAACTACAACTTTCTAAGTTAAGTAGTATACTTATTAGTCGACAAAAACAAAGACAGGAAGGCGGTCGAAAATGTAGACGAATTTTTTGTTCTAAGAACAACAATTGTGCGGGTGTGAACTTTGCCACAATTATTTTAAATATTCGGCCGAGCAAAGTGTTTCATGTTAAATTATTTGCAAATATCTCCGCTCATCAATATTGAAAATAAAACGTTCATTCCCTTTAGATTAACAAATTTTGTATATCATATTGAGTACCAAAATTTGGGAAAAACCGTTTACGATTTGCTCATCACCATTCGTGCCGATCTAAACTTTTGGTACTTAGAGAAATATGTTACTTAATCACTACCAAATGTTCCATTTAGATATTCTAGGAAAGGATTGTAAGCGTCCGAAAAAAACGTCAATTAAGAATACACTGACTTCTGCTAAAGGGCAAATACGTACTTATAAAGATACTAACTTTTTACACATATAATAGATGGATGTAAATTCCAACAGCTGTCTAATAGTAGTCTTGACATTACCATGCATCACGTGCATTACATTACAATGTTATATTTCAGTGCGACTATCGAAGGTTACCATGTGCCAAAAAAATTTGAACACATACGTGCGATAATGTTACAAAGCCTCACTAGAATTACTTGGCTTGGGAAATTTGCTTGCAAAAAAAATTGGCAAAATGACGTTTATTAATTATTTCAATTACATAAATTTAACATTCATTGTTTACCCCGCAACTGCATTTCTGTAAGAGCAGGCGCAGCTGGATGGAATCGGAATGCTCTCCAAAACTAAATCGTCGTCCTTCATACTGACCAGTTTGATTACTGTATACTGTTGCTTACAGAATGTTTCAAAATTGGATGGCATGTGACTATCCATGAAACATTTTTTGTTGGGCCTACAGCGTAAAGTAAAAGTTTTAGATCCGATTGTAACACCCACCATAGTTCAACCTCAGTTCAGTTGACTGAATTGATTGTATAATTTAAAAAAAATCAAATTTCTCTCATTACGTCGGCTAGCTGACCTGATTTTGAACTACATAGTAGAATACTTACAGGCAAACTTCAAAAGTCACGTCTTGCTTGTAATTGTCCACGTTAGCGATCCATACTTTTTTAAAGTCCTTATTTAACGCTGTCTGTGGCCATATTCTATACTTGACAACGGCACACATATTTACATCCTCGTTGTCAATAGCAGATTTTTCCAAAATAGCTGGCGGTCTGTATGGCTGAACGATGGATCCAAACAGATGATGAAATTCTTCCTTTTTGATTATTAGATCTTTTACTCTTTCACTAGGATAATCTGTAATGTTGTAACATAAGTTGTGGATACATTCATTATTTTCCTTGTTATTTTCTATAGGATATCGATGGTCGAAGAACCTCAGTGTGTTGCCGTTCGAATTAAACTTGTTTTTGATCCTGACGTTCATGGGATGGGTTAAGTTTGGACGACGCTGACGCTTGGCACAAACGCCGGAACAACCCTAAAGTACACGTGTTACTAATGTTATAATAATGAATGCAATACTACTTACAATGTAGATGGTGAAAAGCACCAGTAATTTCAAGAATGTATTCATTTTTCGACGTCTATATCTGACTGACTGGTCAAAGCTATCGAAGAGTACTATTTATACGATACCTTCTTTAAGTAAATAAACATACGATATCACAATGTGTAATTTCTCGGTTTCCTTACTTCCGTTAAATAGCTTCGTCATTCATAAATTTATTAGGCAATATTCATCACGTAGCACTGACATCGGTACCGAATTGTTGTAAATAATTTCGCGAATGGAGTCCTTACTTAAGGTGATTTAGATGGTTTTCGTAAGTTTTTGGAAAATTAACCTATTAAACGGTATTATTTTCTGGAACATAGTCCAAAATCATCTTTATTTTATATGTAGGTACAGCAATAATTCACGCTACTCTTGCATATTTACTTGTATCCTTTGTTCAAGTATAATTTTCGATTAAATTGTATTAGTTTTCGTATAGGTTTTCATAGAATCGGAGCAATCGGAGAATTGGGCACCAATTTCGCGGAAAAAGGAAATGTATCTTGCTTGCTTTGCAATAGCCAATTATGTTGTCTTCCAGTAGACTCAAATAATTCAAAATGGCTTGGTTTAGGTGTATAGTGACATTACCAAATTTTCTTCAAATCTACCGAAGATTTAAAATATGATTAAAACTACGGCATCCCATTTAAAATGACGGAATGCGAGTCAATCTGTGTAAAATCGCACTGAAGTATTTTAGTTGACATGAATGCATCCTAAAAATTAAACAAAGTAAAGAAGTTAAGTCAGTGGTTCCCAACCTTTTGTAGCCTATCGCCCCTTTCTGGAGATTGACTAACACGCCCCGTTTTCATTTTTATTGCATGCTTAATTTTAATTTTAGTAAAGTATTAAAGTAAATAATAAAGCAGTTTTATTATTACTGTTTTATTACTGTATGTAAAAAAACCAAAGCAGTTAGTTTTATCCGATCACTCATCAAATAAAATAGAAAATGCGCATTTTTACAGACATACATAAATTTCAAAAACAGGAGTACTGTTGTCATTTTTAACTTCAATCTGGAATTAATATTGTGGACAGTTAAAATTTGAAAAAAATTAATGAAACTTTGCTATGGTTGTATTTTAACTTTTCAGTGGCTGCCTTTTACTTGGTGGATTTCGGTTAAAGCTGCAAAATCCGGTTTTATGTTTGTTAAGTTCAGGCGCAAGTCTCCTCTGAGGGAAATGCCCAACTTATTCCTTTGTTTTGTGAGGAGCTGGATAACAGAACTAAATTCCTTTTCAACTAAATACGTTGATGGAAACGAAATGAGAACTGGGTCAGAACAATAATAAGATAATAAGACAATCTTATAATTAGAGAAAAATTTAAAAACGAAACACTGCCCTAGTCATTGGCAGTACCTATCATTAATCTGTACAAAAATCAGCTTCATTCATCCAACCGTAACATCCGTAGGAAGTTCGTGAAAAACCGGCTAAGAATTGTTTTTACGGAGTTATCAAAAATTTTTTTAAATATACTCAAATGTAGCTCTGTTTCCAAAATCAATTCCCTTGCTCTTCTCGGTAGAGAAGCGGCAACCAGTTTTCTTAGTCGAGGATTCTAGACTCCGAATCTTGCATCAAAGCTGGTGGAGACTTTAAATTTCTGCCTTTATATGGAGAGTTAAATCGGCTGCACTTTACGGGAAACAGCGTTGAACAGATCCTTGACATATAGTATCAAAAAACATTTATTTAAGGTCTAATTAGGCATAGATTAAGATACATATATCATACATTATAACATGTGTTAAACATAGAACACCATCCAAATTTAAATAACTAAACAAGATTTTGTGTTAATCTTACGTTGCTACTAAACGGGTTAAGTGCAAGAGCACAAAGAGCCTTTTAGTGAACTTTCCTTTTAACACGGTGTGTTTTATGTTTAATTTCAGTTTTGCTTAGATATGACTTGTACCATGTCCAAAAAAAGTTATTATTATTATTATTTTTATACTTACTGCGCGATGATACCGTATTTTACTACCGACCGTTAACCCCTCCTTTCCCTGTCATCCCCAGTAAAAGTGAAAGTGTACCAATATATCCTTCTGGCTACTGTTTTTATTCTGCTCCCTTCATAATTTCCGCCACCATAAATAAGTACACTGACAGCAATTTGGTTAACGTATTAAATTTATTTTTCTAAGTTGACTATGTTTTGTAAAATTTAATTTTTTGTCGTTTGGCGCCTTAACATTTCGATTAAATACTTTTTAACTAGACCGTTCCAAATATCTTAAACCTAAAATCCTGCACATAAAACTGCAAAACTTTGTGCATCCAACCTAATCCTTATCTTCAATAGCAAGGTAACCCATGCAATCTTATTCGATCTGGGACACCGTGTGTATCAGTCGTCACGTTACAGACGTTTTATATGGCAAAAAACAGGCACCTTAGGAAGGTCGTCCGTCACACCTTCAAGCTACAGGCTACCAGGCGCAGAAAAGTTACGGACTCTAGGATACCATAAGTGGGGTCATACTGACGGAGAGCTAAAACGCGTGAATGAATTAAAAAGTGAGAGCGACACCCTCAACAACAATAACCTTATTTGTTATGGCAACATTTCAAATCGAGTCTCAAATAAAAGTAATTCACACAACCTCTTATAGATATTCAAATCTTGTCATAGGTAACTGATGGTTGATGTCAAATGTTACGTTCTTTCCCTATCAACTGAAAGCAACAGGATTTCCAATATTAAAAAAAAACATTTTTGCTGTAATTTAATAATCCTTTAAACTGACGTACTATTATAAGCGTGGGAATTAGTTTAAAAACCGAGTTTTCCAATTGTGGACAGAATCCCAACCACATAGGTATCTTAACGTTTGCGGTGTTTTGAAAACGATAACGATAAATGGAAAACCGAGATCAGAACGTTCTGGAAAGTCGATGTAGTAGATCAAAGCAAGCACCTTGGCTTATTCTAAAATATTTAATTTAAGATCTTACAACTTCATAATTACCTGCATAAGTTGCAATACTGATGATGCACTAGGAATTTCCATATTTCCCTACAGTGTGAATGCATAATTATATCATTATATCATTTCATATGGAGGATTTCCAGAATAGGAACTACCACCTTTCCGTTAACGGAACAGCCGCTTCTCAAAAATTTTCTTTACAATTTGGTTGATGAATAGTCGGATAACGTGAAAGGAATTGTCAAGTGAGTGATTCCTTGTTCCAAAAATGCAATTGTAGGGAAAATTTGGAATGTGTCTTTACAGCAAATGCATTAAGAAATTACAACACACTTAACCTTTTTTTCCTTGTAAGGCTAGAAACGCAGCGAATGCAACATTTTGTTCCGCAAAGTCTCACCAAGTTGCGCAACGTTTCGAGCGACGCGTTTCCTTCAAATACAAATACGACTGACGCGCAACGGCCGCAACACCGGGTGAAACGTTGTGCAACGTTTCGAAACAAAACGGCGATGTTGCGTTGTCAAGCACCTTGCAACAGTTTTTCATCAAGATTTAGCGAGGAAGCACATGGTTTCGTTAACTTCAGGTCTATTAGGGTCCCAACTGCAGAACGAGATCCAAAAAAAATTGTAGGATATATTGTTACTCAAAATTTAGTTTTAGTGTGTCCTAATTTGTACATAGCCACTTCCGGTTACTGTCGCCTCAGGTGAAAAGAGTTCTTCCTCATTTAGCAATTATTTCCATAGAGCGGGAAATGGCGCAAAAGCTTGATAAGGCGAAGAGCTCATTGAAGAATTTGTAAAATTTAATGGGAAAAAAATTAATTTTTAAGATTATATTGATGAAAATATTACAGAACGGAATATAACAAAAAATTGTTTAGGATACCTGTTTGGTTTTAAAAAGCATAATCTAATAATGACATTTATTTTCCGGATTTTCCCATATAATTCTTAATCTGCCAGGGTCGAATAGATAACTGGACACACTCGCATAAGTCCGTCGCGAGAATTAGTCGATTTCGGTTACTGATACAATTAATAAAAAGCAAATAAAATTCGCTCTGTGAAATAAGTAAAGGACGATTAACGAACTAGTAGTTTCCTGACAAATTCAAACTTTACATTTACCCTTGCCATTCCGTAATCTTGTCCCTTGTCCTTATCCCTTTGTGCGGAGAAGTTACATCTAAAGGGTAAGTGCAAAAAATTTTGGAATTACAGTCCATTTCAATATCAAACAATACCCTTTTTAGAAAGGGGTGGGGGGTAGAAGGGCGGCCGATTTATGCTTGTTCACAGCGCAAAAAGGTCTCGAACCGGCCCTGAGTTAAATTATGGCGAAAAAAAATAACAAAATATATGGCAACGTTGCGAAACAAAATCTGGTGCGTTTCCAGCCTAACACTGTACCAACCGTATTGACGAATTTATAAAACATCAATTAACAATTCTGCTTTCACTTTTTTAATACTTTTTTTTCACCCATAAATCATTTTTGAAATTAGGAGTTTACGTTTGTAAAATGACCATCCTGCCAACTGGAGAGTTGATTCCGTCGACTGGTCATTTACTTGTCCGGGAAATGAAGGTTTTCCCCTGGAAATTTTTTAAAATCGATTAACTTAAAATTTTGGCAATAGTTAGGCAATAACGTAAGGATCAAAATCTATGTCATACAAAAGGTCGCTTTCGCCATGAGGGTGGTTGCCAACCCATCTCGGGGGTGGTTTGATGTAATTTCTATACATTTTTCTATATAAAATGAATACTTCTAGTTATTCAAAACTATAAATTTTTCGAGAAGAACTTGTATTTAAAAAACCTTTCTTCTTTTTTAAGAAGTTGTGATGAAAATAAGCTAGATCTCTAATATCAGTGAAAACAACTCCCTAATTACCACTCTAATTAAAATTCGTCCTCCCATTGCCAGTTTTCTGTAATTATGTATTATTAATACATTCTAGAAGTATGATTAGTTTAGAATACTTAATTTTGAAATAATTAACGTTAAAAGTGAAACACGATTTCTGCAATTTTTTGAAAAACGTCCTCTTCAAAATAACTCTAAAACAACTTGACATACTTAAAAAATGCTACAGCCTCAAATTGTAGCTTTTTTTAATTCCAAACATTTTCCTCGTTGAAAATTAAGTGAGATATTAGACGTTTAAAGCGTGTATATATTTATATGCCAGCAGGGGCGGCTCTCTATAAAGAGCCAAGGAGCCATGGCACCACCTCAAGGAACCTGCTAATTTTCAATTCTTAAAATATAATTAACTATTATTAATTGTGATCACTAGAGTACATAATTGTGCTTTAAAACTGAAAACAAAAAAAGTAAATGATTTGATAAATTATCATTGCTTATCCGTGGATTTCAAATACGGTCGAGCCGTGTGCCAAACTGAAACTGGCTCGTATTTTCCTACAAGTCTTGACTTCCGCGGGGAGTAGAGGGGTGGGAGGAGCGAAACCGAAGTAGCGTACTTGAGTCATCAGAAGTTTGGCTCATAAGCACAATTGAATAATGTGTACGTGTGTCGTGTATTACTATGCTTTGCGCCGTTTTCCTTGTTTCAGTCGTGATAAGTCAAACAATTTTTTTTACTTCTGTGTGAGATTATACTTCCCGGATTAATTGTTACGTAAATACACAAATTAAAAAATCATTTAAATAAACCTTTTTCCATGCATTCTCTGGAAGTAGACTTTAAATAAAGCAATTAAGCAGGCCGTTACCGGACGTAAATATTGTTAGAAAACGAAATGCGTCTGAATCTTCTGACAATAGCGATAAATCCGAAAATAAAGGAGTAGATATTCAGAGAACTAATAAATTTCAGTACTTGTTTAGATAAAGATTTGAATAGTTATTTGTACAACTATTGTTGAAAATGATACTTCGGCCTATTAATAAAAGAATAAAACTGTAAATAAAATGTTGCTATTGTTTATAGATCGGACTAAACGCCATGGAAACGGATAGTACAAATCGTCAAAAAAGTAACACTTTCCATACGATTTTTTGTAAAAAAAATCCGCTAATTCTCATCTAAAACAACACAAAATGAATTACTATGGCATGCATACTTGAAGTGTGCTTGAAGTATACTTATGAAACAAATCTCCAAAGAAATTAAAGGGGCTAGATTTGTTTCCGTCACTTGCATTATAAATAAACGAATTATACTCAAAATCTAAATTAACTGGAATAATATGAAAACAAAAATTTGTAACTATCAAAATAATGGGGAGGGGGACACAATTTGGCACTACCTTCTACGCAGCTTACGAGCCACCACTGTGTGCCAGCACTACCTTGTTTGAGCCCTTTAAGCTCTTAGTTTTAAAGGAATGTGTAGTAAATAGCTTTCTAGCTCTTGCATAAACCTAAATGGCTTTTTAATGAACTTTCTATCATAAAAAGTAAAGGAGCTGGAATTAAAGAAACAATCACAATTTCTTTCGTAACATCCCGAAAGCACAAATCGGATCATTATGACCGGTATATATTTCGTACTTGCATCCATTCCATACACCTATACAGTATATAATGTATATACAGTGCGATTCAAAAAGAATTCCTCTTTTAAAATCAGTATTTTAATTATAGAAACAAAAATAGAACCATGGGTTTTATAAATCAAGATGAATAGCATTAATAGTATATTAAGATACAAGTGTATAATCAAGTCTTTAAAGCAGGCGCAACGAGTTTAAGGGCACGACGCGAAGCGGAGGGTCTTTAACGTTGCAAGTGCTTTAAAGACCAATTATACACGTCATGGTCATCTCACGTATGGGATGGCTTCAGTGACGTTGAGGATCGGCCGACTGTAATAGGGGGGTAGTAAAAGGGCCCGAATACCTGGCCTTTCGATCGTAATCCAGAATGATTTAAAATTTCATTTAGGGAGACTTTTCTTTAAATTGTTAGTGAATGCCTTTCATTTCCTAAAAGTCAAGTTGTTTTTTGCAAAGCAGCGTCTATTGAAAAGGAATGGTTACAAATTAGTTAAAAATGCATGTAGGAATCCTTAAAATATATAATAGTGGTTGTGTAATTTACTGTCTTTTATTAATCTCTCTAAAATACATTCGATCTTGGTTTTAAATAAAACTATAATAAAATTATTCTGATTCAAGTTGTCACTATGTTATCAAAACTCTAAAGTAAACAAGGCGTCGAATTTTTATTATGTGCATATTTAAATAATTTTCGATTTTCGAACAGTTCAACTTTACAATATATTTTGTATATTAGGTGTTGTATTTAAATGAACCAAACCATCAAGGCATCAACGTATGTTTCCATAAAAAGATAAATGCACGTCGCATAACTACACTGTTCTCTTATACGAACAAACGCAACTGGATGGAATGGGGACATTGTCCAATATTAGATCTCCGGATTCTGCAACGGTCACCAACCGTATTAGAGTATACTGTTGCTTGCAGAACGTTTCGTAGAAAAGGGGTTTACGGTCGTCCATAAAACATTTTTTATTTGGTCTGAAAGAGAAGTATAAAATCAGAGTGTAATGCATTTATTTCTACTTACATACAAACTTCAAACGAGACCACCTGTTTGAAGTCTTCCACGTTAACAATTACAACACGTTTCATTGTTACGCTTAGTGCAGTTTGTGGGCTTAGCTTGTACGTCTTTACTGGGCACATATTTTGGTCCTCCGTCGCGCCATAAACCGGCGCCTTTCCTAAAATTTCTGGAGGACTATATGGCTCAATAACAGATCCGAAGAAGTGGTGGAATTCTTTCTTTTTCTTAATAATAGTGTTAACATCAACGGTGGGATAGTTGGTAACATTAGAGCATAGGTGATGCACGCAAGCGTTGGATTCGCCAAGATTGCCATTACTGAAAAATGAAGCAAAATCGCTGCTTTGCTTAAGTCTTCTTGCTATACCGCTTGGCTGTGGCCGTCGTTGGCGTCTTGATGCACTGGCGCATTCATAAACCTAAATATTAATTAGAATGTCTTATGAACGAACTTGAAGGTGATGAACAACTTACAATGGCAATGAGTAAAAACACAACAAAATTCGGAAAAATACCCATTCTTTGTGATCTATACACTTATCGACACGGTCTTATGCTTCCCAGATAACTGAGGATTGAAAATTATTGAACAGATATTTATATGAAGTTTAAGTAAATAAACAAGCTATGGCAGTTTAAACATCGCGGTTTTTTGTTTCCTTTTTACTATCGTCACTACGCGACGGTAGTTTACTGTAATTTAATGATTAGGTTAAAGTCCCAAATTTTATACAAGGTCCATCCTACTACTGTTCCATATTTTCAAACCATAAATGACGGAGCGTAAAAATTAAACTAAATTATGCTATACGCTAACTAATGATCAAGTTTTATTTTTAGATTTATTTTCAAAGCTTTTTGTCTTCCTCCGGGATAAATGGGGGTTTTTATAAACTCATATAAAAATTACGTCTTTCAAGTTTATCTACGAGTAAATATAGCATTCCTACAGCAGGCGAGAAAATGCCAAAGATGACTACCCAAGTTTGTAAATTTTCTTGTTTTACGTTTATGGGGAAGTCGGGAAGGACAATGTTCACCCATTCTGACCCGCATGGCGCATATCATTCTGAAGGTAAATTGTTCCCAATGTAATCAGTAATGGCACAGTTGTACATTATAGCGTTGAGTGTTATTCAATGGTAATAGTTAAAATAATATGCCAATTCGACAGTCATATAGCGTGTGAAAACAGTGAAGAAGTTCAGGCGGCAATATTTATAATTTTGCAGGAAACAAACCCCGCATTCGAGAAATGTCATAGACTCGTAGCTCGTGATACTTGGATCCATGAAGCTGTTGAGCTTAAGGCTGAAGGGTATTTTAAAAGGAAGGATTACGAGGTCGTTTCAAACACATTTTTCCAACAATTAATGTATGACGACGTTCCAAGGAAATTTTAAACAAAGCCCTAAAAAATGTTACTAAGAAGATAGTAGATAGTAAGTTCCTAAGAGGCCTTTACAGATTTTTGTTGAGGTCGAAAGGCGTCTTAGGAGGTTCTTTGGAATATTCCTGGAATGTTTGTGGAACTAGCATTATTCAAAATGCGTTTAAGCAGGCAATTTAAGATTAGGTACTAATAAAACTGTCTATGATCTCAAAAAAGATTCATAAAAAGTTTCCACAAGTATTTCGAAATGGACCAGGGTAGTTGAGATCCAAAGAATATTTCAAATATGCTTTTAAGGTCTTTTCCAAAAAGTATTCTTTCAAGCATTTAAAAAATGCTCCTGAGTATGTTTTTTCCAGATTGCTAGGAAGATTTCTACGTGTTTTCGGACAAATCTTCCAAGAAGATATGTGAAAAATTTGTTTGTAAACCATATGAAATATACCAGTAAAATGTTTAGAAGATTCTAAAATGTTTTCGAAAGACGTTTCTAAGAAGATTGGTAAAAGTCTTTCTAAAAATTATACAAGAAACCTTCTTGAGAGCCTGTTTAAGAATCTTCTTATAAAATAATATTGTTATCTGAAAAATTAATTACTGAATCAAGAAAATAAAATATATAGGAACCCATACTAATGAGCCAACGGAAGCAACTTCATTAACCTGCACACGTAGGAACACTGGAAAAGGGAAGGTTAAACCTAGTTATTAAAACGTACTCCCGTCAGGAGAAATGAGAGGAACTGGCCCGACGTTGGATATCTTTGAGGAGCGCCGAACGTCTTCCGTCACCTCATTTACACCTTTTTCTGAGGTCAATTGTTTAAAAAGTCACGTACACCTTCATGTATACGTTTTTGGCGCATTTTTTAAGGAATTGAATGTGCTATTGTTTGCGTTTTGTCCGTCTGTCCATCCAGACCCACTTCTTCCGTTTTGAACCACTTTTAGGGAAATGGTTCTAGAGTCCTGGAATTGTAGCCTGTACCTTGAACGTGTGTCAGACGGCCATCAAATTTCGCTGTCTTAAGGGGGAACCCCCCCTCCCCCACTCGTGAATGATTTCCTGAGATACTGTTTTTGTTGTGCCAAGTAAAACGTTCAAAATGGGGGTGGGGGCGGGGGCGACCACACCTTCTGCCCTTCATGGTATTCTAATGAAGGATCTCATCGAAATTAATTGCTTACTATAACTTTTCTGCGCGACTCCCTTTCGAGGTCAGTGGATGAAGAGGAACTATTTCCACCAACTACCGCTCTTCTTTCTTACCCCTTATCAAAATAGGGGGTGGGGGCGGAACTGGTTTTACTGGTATTTATAAAGAGCGATTGGGTCGTAGGAGTGTTAAAAAATGCGCTTTATCTGCAGTTGTGCACAATTTGTACTTGTTTTTTATTGGGCGGATAATAATTTAATCTGCAACTCGGCTTTATCTAATATTTTGGTCGGAACGCGTTCACATATTAACGAACTATTACCTTTTACCATAGTTTATTCATTAACAAAGCTATTACCATTGAATAAGTAATTACTTGTTCAATGTTATTACTATTACCATGTTTGCTACTTACGCCCAAGAAGCATTTTGCCACACTCAAAATCTCATGATTACTAATAAAAGACGATTGCGGATAAAAAAAGCTTGAGTGTTATACAAAATCATGAAGATAACACGGTGTTTTATAGTACAAAGGACTCTGTCCACTGAATCCTTGCTCTCTTCCGTCGGGCGGATTTAAACTGGAATCTTGTCCTTTAAAGCACCTATAAGACACCTAGTTATCTTAATACCTATAGATTTTGGTTGGTATGGGGTTTTAAAATCATATTCCTATCGGCAAACCCAATAGTTGCAAGCGAGGTTGCAAGGCATGTAAAATGCCATTTAACTCAAATTAAAGGATAAATCTTTCGTATATATTGCAACCCTTCGTTAGTTATGTGTGTCAGGTCTTTGCAACGATATTATTTAATCGCGTTTCTACTACGAATTCTAACTAATTCGTGCCAACTGATGAGATCACTGATGTAAATTGTGTGTGTTGGCGACCCTCAAAACCACAGATACAATGAAAAATCTCTTTATTTGATGTTTCCGAAGTTCCTACGGTTTCCCCTTTCGAATCAAAAGATTTTATTCAGAAACCGCCACCTTTTAGTTCAGCCGCAAAACCAAAGTAACTTACGGCAAAACGTAAAACGGTTGCTGATTTCCCATGTTTATTTTTATAAGCATAAATAATTTGATAGCAATTCACAATAATGACGTCTCTGAAGTGACGGCATACATCGGAAATTATATTGCAATGCACATTAGTGATCTCATACAATAATTTATTATCAATTCATGGTTAATTACTTCCACTTGCATAGTTGTATAGGTTAACATAGATCATTTATTGCTGTTACGTTACGGAATTTCATTACTACTACCATTGAATAAATTTTTCACTCTACGCTATACGCACGATGTGATATAATTTGTAGATTATGGTCACCCAAATGAACTTCAGCCACATTTTATTGTGGACTTGGAAAGTCACAACCAAATCAAATTACAACACATCCATGAGAATCTACTTGTGGGAATATATGAACTTGCCTGTGAAAGAATAAACTTTATTGTATTTTTACACAGTTCTTCGCTACCAATTAAAAAACTGCCATAAATCACACATTTGGCAAAAATGATCTGTAGAGCGGAAACGAAAATTTTATATTTACATAAAAGTCGGGAAAATGACACATTAAAATATATAATATAAAATTTCAATTTTCTTGCAGAACTTTTTGATTAACGTCAATCTGTCAGTGATGTGATGACAGAAGTCATTACTCATTATAGACACTTGGTATTGCCACAGCCGTCTATAATTACAAGCCATGCTGAGAAGTTTGGCAACGTTGTTCGAAAGTCAATCGGTGGGCCGATTCAAGTTTTAATGGCGTCTTATTTCTCTTGAAAAATGGTATTTTTCCTCTCTCCTGTTTCGCCTTGGTGGTTTTAATACAGAAGAAAGATACTTAGGCAGCTTACAATTGTACATATATTTTATTTATTTACAAAAATGGATAATAACATTTTTATTTGACTTTAAAATTTGGAACGCTGTAAATTGGTGCATTGTAATGTGTTTTCCATCGAGATCTCCGAAATTGGTGAACTTCTGTCGAAAGAGGTCGAGGTGAAGCACACGCTTGAGCACTTAATTTCGGCAAAAGGACAGTAAATCGCTCTGCATCAGCGAGGTTTTATCAACGACCAGGTGTGATTCGGAATGGCAGACTTTAAGCCAGTCGCTACTCCAGTGGGTCTAGGTACGAAGCTTTTAAAGAGGGGAGCCCCGTAGACTTCAAATTCCCGTACCGTGAACTCCTGGGACTAAGTCGGAAGGTTCCTTCAGAAAATCGACTTGACATGTCCGTGCTAGAATACCTGAAATACAAACTAATTGTGTTTTTTCACTTATAATTGCACAAGAGGTTTGTATTTTACCGAGTAAATTTGGGTTGTTTAGGTAATGAAAATCTGTTGCCTAGCAATTAGACGAGAAAAACTGTCAACTAATAAAAATGCGACACCGCAGGTGGAGCATTTTTAGGTTGACAGTTTTTCGAGTCCAATTGCTAAAAGGAAACAGATTTGAATTGCCACAACCCAAATTTATTCGGTTTAAATACAAACCTCGAGTGTAATTCGGCAGGACAATTTAACGAACAAGAAATTCACCAAACTAATCAATTATTGACAGACGTCAAACTAGTCATATGGGTAAGGATAATGCGATTATTGGTTCGAAAATGAATAAGTGAAAAAACCACTAGTGCATTTGTCGCTGGAAAAGTTGCAGGTAACTTTTGCCGCTGTCAAAGTGACAATTACACTGCGGCTTATGTGATTTTTTATACATGAGTTGAATTGTCACTTATAATTGCACAAGAGGTTTGTATTTTACCGAGTAAATTTGGGTTGTTTAGGTAATGAAAATCTGTTGCCTAGCAATTAGACGAGAAAAACTGTCAACTAATAAAAATGCGACACCGCAGGTGGAGCATTTTTAGGTTGACAGTTTTTCGAGTTCAATTGCTAAAAGGAAACAGATTTGAGTTGCAACAACCCAAATTTACTCGGTTTAAATACAAACCTCGAGTGTAATTCGGCAGGACAATTTAACGAACAAGAAATTCACGAAACTAATCAATTATTGACAGACGTCAAACTAGTCATATGGGAAAGGATAATGCGATAATTGGTTCGAAAATGAATAGTGAAAAAACCACTATATAGTGCATTTGTCGCTGGAAAAGATGCAGGTAACTTTTGCCGCTGTCAAAGTGACAATTGCACTGCGGCTTATGCGATTTTTTATACATGAGTTGAATTGTCACGATAAACACTTACCGTACTTACGTACCACGTAGTGTGTAGGTCATATTTGAGCTTGTACAGGTACTTTGAACAAATACAAGTGCTTGTAAAGGGTCCAGTAAGGAGTAGTCTGCTTTAGAGGTTATGACAACAAATCGATATATTTCGTTTAGCAACTTACCTGAATAATAATTTCTGTTGATTCCATACGGAGTAACACAAATTGTCGCAATCTCGCTCTGTTAAAACAAGTAAATAGGAATATTACACCCAAAACACATAAAATACACCTGAAATCTGCCAAGTTGAATTAGGAAATCTGCCTACCATGCAGTGTTACCATAATTCTCAGCACGACTTGTAATTATAGACGGTTGTGGTATTGCTTTGAAAGAAAACATCGGTATAGAAAAGTTCGGTTCAGTAGTTCCGTTCTTGAAAATCTGAACTTTGGCATAGAGGAAGTATTTCCTCTATGACTGGTTAAAATCGTGCATTCCAGTCAGGAAATACAAAAATTTTGAAAGAATGCTGATAACGAAAAATATTTATTTATGAATGTAATTTCCATTACATATCACTTTAGGTATCTTTAACGATTTAATTTCTTAGGTCGCTTTGGTGTTTGGTATTGCTGGAGCGTTGCGGTGCGAGGGCAAGTTTTAAGACAACGCAGGTATTCGTCAATTTTGGGTCATTTAAACGACCAAAAAAGATGCGTATTCGTTGTTTCTTTTTAGACGTTTTTAAAAATGTTGGTCCTTGAACCTTCGATAAACTTGTTTCCGGCAGTTGTATAGCAACCACAATGTAGAAAAAATACATAGAGGTACCAGTTATGTGTCTCTCGTATTGGTATTCCCCAAAATATTGTTTTCCATC